TCTGTAGTTGAAAAAAGAATTTTTGAAAGTCTTGAAGATGTTAATGGCCACCTGCACCTTTTCCAGTGAGTCCTCAACTTCTCCCTTCAAAAGGTCCTCAGGTGAAAGGTAAGTTATTGCCTACGATTTAATGAAAGGAAATGATGATCAAAACTATGTTCAAAAGTTTTTTTTACTATAACCATCTGTTTCAATGAATCCTTTCTGAATGGCCATGTCTAGAATTAGGCCAGCAATGCTGTGAGACAGAAAACACAAATTGCAGAAATTCAGACACTTGGGCTCCAATAACATACTTATGCAAATTAAAATAATTTGTAGGAGACCCTATTATTTCTGGATTTACACATTCTAGCAGTGACTAAATTTTTGCTAAGCTTCATATATGACAACTGTATAATCTGCACTTGCACGAGCATTCCTGCCAGCAAATATTCTGGATGATAATTTTTTCATATAAAGAAATACACAAGACAGCAGAGGAAATCTATCAGAACATGGATTTTAAAAATATGGTCATTTTACTTGGTAGTACAGGGTCACTTGCAAAGATGAGTATAAGCAGATGAGGTGGGTATACCACTAGAAATTCTTTCAGGTAAGCAAACTTCTCTTCTGGGAGCTTACGCAGCATAACATGACACACAATCTAGCTGAGATATGCCACATGAACTAGTTCTGAATAGAAGAAAAGGAGAGAAGGAAAAAAGAAAAAGGCGAGAGTAGCAGATCCACACAGCACAGGCCAAACTCCCATGAGACCGTCATCTATGTCCCACCCAATTCTTCTCTTTTCGTATTTGTTATGAACATTCAGGATTCTCTTCTTCAAGGACCTCAAGAACCTATAAATTCCAAAGGTTCTTTTGTATACTATTTCCTCCTGATACATTTTAACCTCATTTAAATTGCATGCCTTTAATTTTGTGGTTGCTTAGAAAGCTGTTTAAGATCTCGATGGAGAATGTAATGAAAGCCATTGAGTTCAACATAGCAGAAGGAAGGACGTTTTTCTACATGCAGACGTAAGACCCCCCAACTCCCATTAATGGCAATAGTTTTATATGCAATATATACTCTGTGTCATAAATTTGTAAAGTAAGAAGAAAACCATTTGTTTAGTGTTTAAAAACCCTACTGACTAGGGCCAAGCCCGGGGNACAGAGATGGTGACTTGTTCTTTGGGTTGCAACAGCCCTCTCTTTTCTAATTACCTGCATTTAAAGTAACGTCCCTTGGACAGGCCATCCTTACATTCCTGAGCTTCTCAGCTGGTCCTCATGTAGATAAGACAATGACAGCCGATCAACTTTCTGCTCATACAGCCCGCTGCTGTGAGACCTCCTAAGACGAGGTTACAGTACTTGATATCCTGGATTAGAAAACTCAGCCTATATCCTTGCACCATGCAGCAGAGTATGTAAGGGAAAAAGCATCACAGGAGTCAGAGGACCTGGCTGTGACCCAGCTAGGGGCCACTAACTTCTTTTATGACATTAGCAAATTTGTGTCAGAGGATCTGTTTCCTTGTCCTCAAGATCCCTTTTCATTGAGAAGCTCTGAATTCTTTTGTGCTTCCCGCAGTATTTCTCTAGAGCACACCCCGCCACACCAGCTTTCTCTGGATCTCATGCTTAATGGTATCAGCACAAACACACCAAAAGCCACTGGATTTAGGATGACCTGGTCCCACTTCAGAGGTCTTATGTACTAAAATACTACTAACCAATTTACCTTTCTATGGACAATAAATTATCGATAAACCAAGTTGTCAATGATATTGTTAGTTTAACGCCTGTCTCCCAGCTGCTGCTTCTCTTTTTCATGTGCTTTTTTTGATTCCTACTTTTGTGCTCAATCCTGCCATCTCTTCTCCAAGTTTCACTGCTCAGACTTAAACTCTTCCTCACCTAGGATCCTACAATCAACTTTCTGCTCATACAGCCCGCTGCTGTGAGACCTCCTAAGACGAGGTTACAGTACTTGATATCCTGGATTAGAAAACTCAGCCTATATCCTTGCACCATGCAGCAGAGTATGTAAGGGAAAAAGCATCACAGGAGTCAGAGGACCTGGCTGTGACCCAGCTAGGGGCCACTAACTTCTTTTATGACATTAGCAAATTTGTGTCAGAGGATCTGTTTCCTTGTCCTCAAGATCCCTTTTCATTGAGAAGCTCTGAATTCTTTTGTGCTTCCCGCAGTATTTCTCTAGAGCACACCCCGCCACACCAGCTTTCTCTGGATCTCATGCTTAATGGTATCAGCACAAACACACCAAAAGCCACTGGATTTAGGATGACATGGTCCCACTTCAGAGGTCTTATGTACTAAAATACTACTAACCAATTTACCTTTCTATGGACAATAAATTATCGATAAACCAAGTTGTCAATGATATTGTTAGTTTAACGCCTGTCTCCCAGCTGCTGCTTCTCTTTTTCATGTGCTTTTTTTGATTCCTACTTTTGTGCTCAATCCTGCCATCTCTTCTCCAAGTTTCACTGCTCAGACTTAAACTCTTCCTCACCTAGGATCCTACAGATGACAATATCCACAATAGAGACACCAAGGCATGGAATAGATAAGGGGGTGAGCTTAGAGTGGTAATGACACACAATGACCAGGGAGCATAGTCGGGGTGCCAGACAAGAGGCAGGGCACTAAGAAATGAGCCCATTAGCAAAGCTTGTGTGCACGATAATGTGACATGACCAAATGATGCCTTTCATGCATGTGGCCCAAATGATGATGTTAATGGTTACTGTTAGAAAACAGTGGAAGAGAAACATATTTGCTTCTAGAGTAACAGAGGGTTTCTGACTGTGACTGTGATGCCAGTCACAGCATCAGGCAGATAATAAAAATGCGTAAAGCATATCAGGAGCAACAGCCAACTGTGAAGGCCATGGTCACCTGGACAAATCAGGTCCATCTCAAGGGGCACCTGAAGCTCTATCAGCTGACTGTGCCAACGGGGATGGTACAGCCAGCATGGCAAGGTCTCTGACTTTGCAAAGGAGGCTGCAATGCTAGGATTTAAATGAAACCTACCTAAATATTAGCAACAATTTTTAAAATTCATAAATTTTACAAAAGAATTATAATTATACAAAAGAAATCACTGCATTGATTTATGGGCTAAATGCAGCTAATAGAATGCTTATGGCCTCTAATATATAACATAAAAAGTGTAGAAAGTATTCAAATTTGAGATCAATAAATTCATGGAAGCAAAGTACATGAAGGTGCTAAATGCAGCTAATAGAATGCTTATGGCCTCTAATATATAACATAAAAAGTGTAGAAAGTGTTCAAATTTGAGATCAATAAATTCATGGAAGCAAAGTACATGAAGGTTACATGAGGAAATACAATTATAAAAAACACATAAAATGTATAATTGCACATATTAGGCAAGGTACAAATTAAGACACAACATGATACTATTGTATATCCAATAAATAACCCCCAATTTTAAAAAAATAGTAATGCTCAAAGCTAGCAGGTTATGGCAAACCTTTTTACACATTGATAATAACAATACAATTGATATACCCTTCTATGAAATAATTCATAAATATTAAATATTGCTCAAGAGCCATTAAAAGATTGCAGCGTTTGATCAACATTAGGAATTTATATTAAGCCAATTATCCCAGTTAAGGAAAAGGATTTCCATATAAAGTTTTTTTCTGCATGTTGTTTATAATAGAGGAGTCTGGAAGAAACCAAAATACCCAGCAAAACAAAATAATCTTTCAAGAAGCTAGTATAAAAAACTGTGTGATAAAATGTACAAATATGTGTAAGTCTGGCAGGAAGAGAAAATAAAAATTCTGAATTTTAGGGTGATAGAAAGGCAGGACTATTTCCATTGTTGCAGATGCTACACAATGAGAATGTTTTTTACAATTATCATTAGCATATTATGTAGTATGATGTAATTATAAATAAAAACTGTTATTTTAAAATATGGAGCACAGTAAGAATTCTATCACTTACTAGCTGGGTGACCTTGGGAAAATTGTTTGTCTTCACTGGGTTTCAGTTTTTTAATTATAAAATGGAGCTACTAACAGTACCTATGTCATAGCATTGCCATGAAGATTTAATTTTTGAATATTTGTAAAGGGCTTGGAAAATTTCCTGGCAAAATAAGAAGCACTATACAGTGTTTGTTAAATAAAGATACAAAATAAAATTAAACAGCAAACCACAGGAAGAGGGTGATATGTGTTGAATTGTGTCCCCCAAATTTTCACACATTAGAAACCTAATCCCCACAGTGACAGTATTAAGAAGGTGGGAAATCCTATTACGGTAATTGAAAGGTGTAGCCTTGAAGAGGTGAGGACCACACTCTAGTAAATGGATTAATCCCTTGATGGTTTAATGGTGGTCACGGGCATGGTCCTGATGGCTTTAAAAGGAGAGTGCATAAGAAGCTCTCTGTGCTCCTCCTATTCCTGCCGTGTGACCTTTCGCATTGCTGTGAAGAGTCACCACCCATCAAAAAGGCCCTCATCAGATGTGTTCCCTGTACTTTGGATTTCCCAGCCTCTAAAACTGTAAGCAATAAAAATTTCTTTACAAATTACCCAATTTCATGTATTCTGTTATAAGCAACAGAAAAGGACTAATACAGGAGTAAGTTTAGCTCTCAGGGAACCCAGGTATGAAAGTTAGCTCACACTGACTTTTGATTCCTAACATGTTGGGACAGATCTACTATAAAGTCCAGTATCTGCCACTTGGAGAATAAGGAAATCAGGTCAATGGAACCTTTGGACAGAAGCCAGAACTAAGGAACAAAAGCAGCTATATTATTTCCTTGGGAGCTTGGCAGACTCTGGCTGGCTATGGGCACCGGCTAGGGATAATAGGTTTATAGGCTTAAAGGGAACCAGGACTTCTTATGAGCTACCTTGAATCCACTCATACCCATGAATGGCCACCACTGGGGTTTATACATTAACAGGGCTTTGCAGTGAAACAGTGTTGATTATTCTCAAAATGAGAAGAAGGTCCCTAAAAAGGGCTTGGGAGAGTGGTGGTTATAGTTGTTGGCCCTGCAACAGGGATCATGGTATTTAACACGGAGATCCAAGCCAGCATGACCCAGGGCACTTGCTTAACAGAGCAAAACTGAATTTGCACAACAGAGAAACAGAAACAGAATAAAACCAGAGAAGATGATGACAATATATAGAAAGGAATTGGCCTGTTGTCATCTCTCATCAACAGCTGCAACTAGCTTGTAAGTCAATAGTTTGGGCGAGAGAACAAAAAGGAACTTCTACTGAGCCTGTATTAAATACCAGGCACTACGCTGGGCATTTCATTTGGGTATGTCTTTTGATCCTCACAATAGCCACAGACTAGGCATTATACCCACTGACAGATGTGAATACTGAGGCTCAGAGAACTGATTTAACTTCCTTTAAATGGTTCAATTAGATTTCAATACAGGTTCGTCTGAGTCCAAAACCCTTCCTACATAAAAATTCTGAATTTTAGGGTGATAGAAAGGCAGGACTATTTCCATTGTTGCAGATGCTACACAATGAGAATGTTTTTTACAATTATCATTAGCATATTATGTAGTATGATGTAATTATAAATAAAAACTGTTATTTTAAAATATGGAGCACAGTAAGAATTCTATCACTTACTAGCTGGGTGACCTTGGGAAAATTGTTTGTCTTCACTGGGTTTCAGTTTTTTAATTA